GTAAAGACCCAGACGACTTACCGCCACTGTCCTACCCCGATATCTTCACGTATCTTGTTTGTGGAGTAAGCGCTTACACAGCGAACCAGTTTCGTAATTACAAGTCACTGGAGGCGCACATCCAATTTACAAATGGCTGGGTGCAAGATTTGGCTATTTTCAAGCCGCCAAACTCTGAGTACGTCGTCAAAGTAAGTCAGCTGGAGTGCACCAAGTGAAATAGCCATTTTCCACCCCCCACCATAATTAATGTTACACATTTATCATTTAACTGCTAAAATATCGTTATCATATTATATGCCCATAATTGTAAAGTACATGTAAATTAACACATTGATAATCGGGTAAATTATTAACGCCAATTTGTGTCCTTCCTGTCTCATTTCATTTATTGTCTTTACATCAACCAATCAAGTCACTCCATTCTATGTTTGATCGCAATTTCTATAACTTCCGAGACCACCAACGATGATATTATTCAGCTATAAAGTGTGATGTGAACATATTTAGAACTTACCGGAATGAAAATGTCTTGAGCACACCAACTGATATCTGGAGACGTAACAGAACTTGATATCAGCTCGTCTCACGGCTGCTATCCAGGCTAGACGCCTTCGTTTGGTAATATCCGATACATGAGCTCCTTCATGTTGCTTCCAGGTTGGGAAAGCATAAAAAGACAATCCGAAACTTATTCCCGTGCCGGTCGTAAGATCGAACATTGCAGCCGACCACACAGCAAGTACGAACCATGGCTATGCTTTCGCTCCTTACTTAGACCCCCAAAATGGCGGATCGGGCCAAAATCCTTTCCACGCCCACCCCCGTGACATCACGCTCCAAAGCCCTATAGTCAAAATCTCTATCGTTGGCCAAATTTATATAGTTTCTATCTTATATCGTTTCTATCGCCCACCCCTACAGAGAATGGTGATGCTGACCTCCGATGGTGCCTCAGTAATGCGAGGAAAGCACAACAGAGTTGCAGCTTTATTAAAGCGGAAAATACCACACTTAACTGAACAACACTGTGTAGCCCATAGAGAGGACTTGGGCATTGATGATGGGTGGAAAGATGTACCTTTGATGCGTGATGTTGGAACTCTTCTTAGAACAGTTTACTCCACTTTCTCTAGATCCACTGTAAAGAGGGGAAAACTGGAAGACCTAGAAATGTTCTTGATGAGGATGCACTGTCATTCAGGCCTCTGAGTGAAGTGCGATGGCTGTCGCGTCACCAAGCTGTGAATGCTGAGGAACTACACTGTGCTGGAAGAATACTGCAAGAGAGAATCCAGTGATAACAGACATCCAGTGGCAAATTACTGTTACAAAAAGCTAACCGATTCAAACTTCAAGGTTACTCTCACCGCTCTGGGAGATGTTTTGGGTGAGCTGGCTCACCTGTGTCTTTCTTTTCAAAGATGCAACCTGACTGAAGGGCACTGCTTGGCAAGAGCAAAGATTGAGAAGTTGCGTTCCCAATACTTGACAGAGGAAAAGGAAGTTAAGTGGAGTGACCGTGTCAAAGAGGCGATGAGGGCCTCATCTGCCCATGGCAGGAATACCAGTGAGATTACTCGTGTTATTCGTAAGCTTTGTGATCACTTGGATGCTCGTTTTCCAGAGGATGAATTATAGGAGTGGTCTGCACTTGACATTGAGGCATTGACCTCAGACATCAGGTTTGAGTATGGAGCAGCAGACACGCTGGCAAAGAAGTATGAGGCCATTCTCCACCCTCCACATTCAGTGGAGGTCATAAACAGTGAATATTCTGATTTCAAGTACATAATGAGGCACAAACTTAAACATGGGTCAATCAGCACAATCTCAGATATGGAGGCTGCAACACTAAAATGTGAGGAGCTAAAACACATCTCGCAGCTTGTGGATATTTGTGCTACATTTCAAGCATCCAGTGCAGATTGCAAAAGAGGCTTTAGTTTAATGAATCGTCTCAAAACAGCATCCAGAAATCGTCTTGAGGCGGAGCATTTGGACCAGCTGATGCGCATAAAGTCAAAGCTGCAAGCAGACGAGGCCATCAACCTGTTTATGAGTATTAGAAAAATGCAAATAATCATTATATACTGACAGACAAAGGGTTACAGGACAGTAGGACTGTCTCCCAGACCGC